ATTTATAAAGCAATAATGAAAAAATTCTTTTTTTATCTGAAAGGATATTCTTTCAGATTGGCTTCGTGGAAATTTTATTGAAATCGTTTTAATATATAAGTTTTTAAATCAAAATCATTGATTTTACTACGATTTAAGTTAGTTTCTTTTTGTGGAACAAAATTCTTAATTATTTCCAAAGTTTCTAAGATTTTGAAGTACTTCGGCTTTTTGTAACAATACCTTCAATCGTTTACCAACTACACGAGATTGGACACGATGTGGATACACATGACAGAATGACTTTGACCCAATTCCATTAGATGGGGCCGTGGCAGTGTGTTCTCCTTTTATATTTTTCTATGTCAGCTGTCGTTGTTATATCCATTCGATCTTCCTACACAATATCATCTTTCAAAACGGTCTGTTCGTTTTTCTTTGATATTTCTCTTATCCTTTTAAGTCTATGTTCATATTAAGTAAGTAGGCACGTACGTAGGTAGAAACATCATAATATGTAATCTCTAAGGAGGGAAGGGATTACAAATAAAGGAGACTAAAAATCCTATTCCACGCGGTCCTGTTTGGAAAATATCATGGTTAATTTCCAATGAATCCATTATGATGGGCTAACTGGCCTGTTTTCATTTTCGATTATCACACTTTCACTGGTGCCCTGCCAGCGTGTACCGTTAGCGCAGGCGGGATACCAGGTTTTTGTATTTTATGCACGAAAAATTATTAATTCACTCTTACGCCACCTGCCCATTTACCATATATCTAAAGGTTGTCTGTAAGAGATTGCCCTAGCGATAAAACCGCCTTATGTACCTTTATGTGTGTATTTCAATCTGTATTTATGTTACTGTATTTCACTTGACTTATTCATTTGTCATTGTATATTTTTATTTATGGTGCAATAAAGAGTTAAATAAATAAATACCATTCCATTATCACTTATTAAAAAAAAGTAATCTATATAAATGTATATAGAAGAGAATGCTGATTAATTGATTGATCCATATATCAACATATAATCGAAACTGCTAAATCTAGAATCTCAAAATTTTCTAGTTAGGTTCTTTATATAGCGGCTGCGTAAGTGAACAATAACAAAGGAATTTTGCAAGTTCAACCTCTAAGGGGGCAAAGCAAGGGTTGAATATTCGTGTGGAATATCGTCAGTTTAGAAGTTAGCTAGTAAAATTTTATATTTAAGCTCATGGTTCAAAATAAAAATTAATATGTTTAGTGGTTTTTGTACATTCACCCATAAAAAGGTGAAATAGAGGATGAAAGTTTGTATAGGAGTTATAATAGAAATTAGAAGTATGAACTGTAATTTAAGACTTGTGACTAGAAATAAAAAAAAACCTTTCATCGTTTTTGCAATTTTCACTCCTGAAAGAAAGGAATATTTTGTCATAATCGTAGAATACTGACGGATCTTTATATGTAATATTTGTCAGAACCGTCAGTATTCTACGACTATGACGATTTATTCAGTGCTTAATATCACATTAAAAAACACATAATAATAAAAACATTAAAATAATAATCAAAAAATAATGAAAAGAATAACCACTAAAAGTGGCGAATGAAAATTTGTATAGAAATTAGTTTGTTACCTTTGAAGCTAGAAGTGTAAAGTTTTGTTTTTAAGCTTAAACTTGTTTCCCTTTCAAGTCGACCTCCACGTGAATCCCCCTGGAAACCATCGTGGTTAATTCTAGTTGAATTGGTCAGGATGAGCTAACTGACCTGTTTTCATCCTCATCTGTCATTTCTCACTGGTGCCCCGCCAGCGTATATCGATAGCGCAGGCGGGTTTACCATACTATTATCACTCATTAAAAAAAAGTCTTCATTGCAATTAATATACCCTATTAGGTCGATAAGGAAACCATTGTAGTTAATTCTTGTTGTATCCGTCATGATGAGCTAGCTGACCTGATTTCATCCTCATCTATTATATCTCATTGGGGGCGGTACCTTCTTCATTAGAGTAGAATTAATCAGTTTCTTTCCGAATGGATTAATTAAATTCCAGTCCAATGGAATAAAAATCACTCGACCGCTAAACTAAAGCTAAATGTATTTTCTGTTGATTAAGCTACCATCTTTAATACGCTCTATACACCTACCTACACAACTATCTATCTTCTGAGTAAAGTACTTTATTTTTCATTTTTACATCACTGTGGCTGAAATTCTGGTCATTTGAGCCTTACATAATTCTGAGTGGGTGACTTTGCTATAAGTGGGTGAATGAATCACCCACTTTATACCATATTAATCCAATCTGTTAAATAGATCAATTCTCCATTTCGAACTACTTTTTTTTTAATGGTAATATTAGAGAGGAGAAAGGGATTGTTAGTAATGGAGACTGAGAATCCTATTGCTAGCAATATACCCAACCAGGTCGACTTCCTCGTGGTTCTCCCTGGAAACTACATATCATGGTTAATTCCTGATGAATTCATCATGATGGGCTAATTGGCCTGTTTTCATTCTCATCTATCACGCTTCACTGGTGCTCCGCCAACGTATCCCGTTAACGCTGGCGGGGCTACCATACCATTTTCACCCATCAAAAAAAAAATGGTAATATTAGAAGGGCAAATTACTCCAAACAATATTTACATACGAGAAAGATAAGTGTTGATTAGCGTATTATTTGCTATATTAAGTTTGTAAGGCACCTTCGATTGTTGCCGTTTTCTCTTTTTTGTTGTTGCTAGTTCTATTAATATTATAAATGTAAAGATGTTTGGATGTTTGTTGTGCAATTACGTTTAAATAGTTGTAAGTAGTGGTTGTATAGTAGGGATCTCTCTCAAGTACTATAGACATTGCAATTAGAATAGCTGTAGAACATAACGCCATTTTTGATTGTCAAATATTTTCAGTGGGTCTACGACGGTTTTACATAGCCGTATGGTCTCGGCATAGAATAGGCTACCAGCATGGGCTTATGGGCAGCAGCGTTCCTTATAAACCGTCTCTAAAGCCTAATTGCGGTTGCCAATCTGCCCGCCAAGCGTGGCAACTATTGGTAAAAAGGGAGGCTACCAGAGGGAGACTTTGTACAAAAGTAGTTTACTTGGGCACCTCTGTTCTATTCGTGTTTCTATCGTGAAGCAGTTGTGTTTACATAGCTATGTTTCGGTTTGAAGGGTAGGATATGACAGTAAATTTACAGGGTACAGAGGAATAACACCTGAGTCCTCAGGAATGGTAACGCATGGGAGGTATCATGGGCGAAAGAGTATACTCTGTTATGTCCATGATACTGCTCATATCTATAGGCGACGGTTACTACTTCCCATCAGGTGGGCCGTCAGCTTGTTTGCCAATCTAAATTGTATATAAAATAAGGGTTATGTTCAAAAGTGGACAGTTAAAGACTGTTATCATGATGATGAATGATATTATCACTTTGTTAAAAAATAACCTTATAAATTTGGAACAAAATGATAATGTGTTCTGATAGTAAAAATGCATCGTGTTCTAATTTAATATTGACAGTGAAGGGTGGATTCCATTGTTGTATCATTAAAATAATGTTGATAATATAATAGCGAAGAAATTCTGTTACATCTCTATCTATTTGATTTATGCCAGCGGCTTCGTGTTTCTTTCTATTGAAACTTTAGGTTTGTTTTTAAGCTTAATTAGGCAAAACCTAATAAGATTGTAAACGAAGGCTTTGTTGTGAAATTGTTTTCAACTTGGAAAATATTATGATAAAATTATTTTGGGTTTTATTGTGAAATTTGTTTTATTTTTAAATAGAGATTTTAAAAGATTCTTATATACTTTCGACCACGTACTTATATTTCATGAATAATTGGGGCTGAACAAAACACAAATTGTTGTTAAAATTACATAATACACACTGTTTAAAAATGTTAAAAAATATCAACGTTTTACAAACTAAAACACGATATTGACCTCGAAAATTCGGATTTTCATTTCATGGTTGAGCCCTTGATATTATAATGTACTTTCACATAATAATTCTATTAGTATAATAAATATGGAAATTTGTAACGATGGTACAAATTACTGAACGAATTTGAATAAAATTTAGTAGATGCGCAGGTAATATCATAAAAAAAACATATAAAATACTTTATATACAGATTCACATAGGCGGAACCGTAGGATACAGGTAGTATTATATACATATTTACTGGAATATAAATATCTTGGATAGATAGGTTATAAAAAAAATATATAAAAAAATAAAAAAAAAACCCTTTTACTATAAAAGTAATTTAAAATTGTGTTAAAAAACCGACCTCAATTGTGACAAGATCAGTTGTTTAGATTTAAAACTTAAACTGTTAAACCGATTTTAATATAATTTCTATGAGACCAATATGTATGTATATCTTTTCAGATGGAAAAAGAATTTTTCAAATCGCTTTATAACTGACTGAGTTATGAGGTAATAAACATAAAAAAATTATAATCGAACGGAGACCCTTGTTGGAAACTCCAACAAAAATTAATACTAGCATAAAAACTTTTTATTATATTTTTTAATTTCAAATAAAGAATAAATAAAATTGTCATAAAAATGGAGAATAAAAAATTGTATTCCTAATTAACTTTGGCCTTTTATATATTAAATCCATGTATCTATATTGAGTAAAATACAAATTTTTGGTCCATTTCGAGCATCGTAAGGCAAGAAACAGCGAATTACAAAAAATCTCAGTTCAATATACGTGGATACGAGAAGCGCCATTGTTTCAAGAATACAACATATATGAAATCTATTCTCCTCCGTGCGTTCGACAGGCGATTGCAATTTTGTTGAAGTCTACAAGTAAATATTATATATTTCTCCGAGTGGTAACTACAATTTCTTTAGTTGTCAATTAAGAGATTTATATAGACGACGACAAACGATTATCTCAGTTGGCCTGCAAGAAAAATATACATCGAACAACGGCAAATTCATTCATGACACGAGGTGGGAACTACGATTATTATATTCAATAAATACATTTGAACATTTTCCATTATATCTACATATTTTAATTTTGTGGCAATCGTCGTGCAATGGCCACTGATAGTGAAACTTCACTACGCGCCTCGCGAGGCTATGTTAAAGGGGCGATTACTCGTCTTCACAGTTTTGTTAGCAACGAGTCTGAATTAGAAGAAAGTACCTTACAGGCCCTTACAACGCGTAAAGAAAGACTGCTCACAGCCTTCCGTGAATATGAAGGATTTAATATGCGGATTCTTTCAATGCGACCAGATGATGACGAGGACGTAGCAGCTGTTGAAGATAAATATCTATATACTCTTACCGTTCTTAATGAAGTGATTAGCCGTAAGACTTATAGTGTAGAGGACTCTAAAGGTCATGTTAGTACTATTGCACGATCAAAAACTAAGTTGCCCGCGATTCAAATGTCCATATTTTCTGGTAATTATGTTGAATATGTAGCGTTTCAATCATTGTTTACTTCATTGATTCATAATGACTTAACATTAGATAATGTTCAGAAGTTATATTATCTTAGGTCTTATTTAAAAAACGAACCGTATGATCTTATTAAGAACTTACCATTAACAGCCAGTAGCTATGATCAAGCTAGACAATTATTAGACGAAAGATATAACAATAGGTATCGTATTGTAAATGAACATATTGGTCAATTACTAGACTTACCTGCGCTTGTCAAATCAACCCCTGAAAACATTCGAGATTTTGTAGCGAGTCTTAAGCAGACTTTGGCTGCTCTGCAAAACTTAGATGTGAAGGTTGAAACTTGGGATCCAATAATTGTTTGTATTCTTAATCGTAAGTTAGATACATACACGGCTCGGTCGTATCAAATGGAAAAAGATACTGCCGAGGAACACAGCGTCAAGCACTTCATCGAGTATCTTGAGAAGAGGGCACTTGCATTGGAGAACGCTGCGCCGTCAACTGCGATGCCATCTACAAAAGCCAAGGGTTTATTAATCAACTTAGCGGCTGCTGGTGAGAAGGCGGTGACGTGTCATTACTGTAAGTCTAACAATCATAAATTATTTTCCTGTAATACATTCAAATTTATAACTTCTGTGGAACGCTATAAATTCTGTAAAGACAATAAGTTATGTTTGATTTGTTTGAATAAGCACAATGGAAAATGCAAATTTCATTTCAAATGCGATCAGTGCAAAAAGGCACACAACTCACTAGTTCATCATGACGAATGTGACGAAGGTCCTGTTTCCTTATTATCCAAGGGCCACGATTCTAATGTTTTGCTTCCCACAGTAAAAGTGAAATTATTCACAAAGGATAAAAAGACGATAATAGTGAAGGCGATTTTAGATACAGGTTCACAAGCCTCCCTCGCTACGAGCAAGTTAATCCAGCAATTGGGTTTAACTCCAACACCCAACAATACAAATATAATAGGTGTAGGCAATGCTCAGAATAATATAAGATATTGTATTCCATTAAACATACACTCTGTGAATTCTTCTTTTAATATGACTGCCAATTTTTATGTAGTCGAAAAAATTACCTGCAAGCATCCACAAACAAAACTTGATATTCGGCAATTGAAGTTACCTCCCAATATAGTGTTGGCAGACGATCAATTTAATGTTCCATCTGAAATAAATCTCTTAATGGGTGCTGACATATTTTTCCATGTGATAATGCCCAATGAGCCTGAGCGACCGTGGTCTCGAAATCTGCACCGGCCGCTACCTAGTCAAGATGACATTACGCCCTGCATTATCAATACACGTTTTGGATATATTATTGGTGGTTCAATGCTTGAATATCAGCAAGCTTCAAAACAGGTAACATCACTATTATGTATTAAATGCGATCCTGAAATCAATGATAATATCAAATCATTTTGGGAAGCTGAGAGTGTACCACAAACCTTTTCTGAGGATCAAAGTGAACAAGAGTTAGCTGAAACTATCTTTCAGAATTCTGTAGAATTGATTGACGATAGATTCCAGGTGAATTTACCTCTTAAAGTTGAGGATAATGAAATTCATAATTACTTGGGTAATTCTTTTGTATTAGCTTGGCATCGATTTTTAAGATTGGAAAGGCGCTTACAAAAGAATATCAATCTATTGTCAGAATATAATAAATTTATTCATGAATATGTAGAGCTAGGTCATGGCGATTTTATTAACTTTGATTTCTATGATTTTGACAAAGATGCTGTATATTTTTTACCGCATCATGCGGTCATTAATGAATCGAGTAAAACTACTCGCACAAGAGTCGTTTTTGATGCCTCAATGAAGACGGATAAAAAGGTTTCATTAAACGATTTATTACTGAATGGGCCTTCAGTCCAGAAAGAGCTTTTTGATGTAATTTTATTGTTCCGAATTGGTAAATATACGTTTTCTACTGATATAAGGCGTATGTTTAGGAATATTCTGGTGAATCCCAAACACAGGGCTCTTCAAAATATTCTTTGGCGAAATAATCCTGATGAGGCAATAAAATGTATACGTTTAAATACTGTTACGTACGGTATGAAAAGTTCAAGTTATTTATCAACTCGTTGTTTACTCGAACTTACTAAACTATTTAGTCAAGAATTTCCTATAGCTTCATTTATATTGCGAAACTGTACTTATGTCGATGATATCCTCTATTCGTCATCAGATCTTAGTGAAATAAAAGAAGCTAAGCAACAATTACAGTCTTTGCTACAAAAAGGAAGTTTTGAAACACATAAATGGTCAGCTAATGATCCAGAAATTTTGTCTGATGTTCCAATTAGTAAACAACATTTTGACGAGCTAGAGTTGCAAAAGGATAATTATAGCATGAAAGTATTAGGTTTAAATCTAGATGTAAAGAATGATTGGTTTAATATCACATGCCCAGAAACTATTGATATAAAATCGGTAACAAAAAAGTCAATTTTAAGCTGTATTGCTAAGTTTTATGATCCACTTGGCTTTGTGTGTCCAATTATAGTAAAGGCTAAGATTATTATGCAGAAACTGTGGGCTGAAGGTATTAGTTGGGATGCTTCTCCCTCCGATCATGTTAAAGAAGAATGGTTGTTTTTTATTGACGGTCTCAAGGCAATGGAACCGATTCATATTAATAGAAATATACCAATTCCATTAGGTTCTAAGGCTGTTCAATTGATCGGTTTTGCCGATGCCTCAAGTAAAATAGGCTACGGATGCTGTGTATATCTTAGAACGGTAGACTCTGATTGTAATGTGCGCATGTTTCTTTTATGTGCGAAGTCCAGAATTAATTCGTTTTCGAAACCAATAACGATACCACGGTTAGAGTTGAATGCGGCCTTATTGCTATCAAGTCTAGTACGGAGGACATATGAAACGTTACAGCTCAAACTTTCAATTGATAGTGTTTATCTCTTTACCGATTCTAAGATTGTTTTAGCTTGGTTGAATACTGATATTTTTAATTTACATGCATATGTGGCTAACCGAGTAAAAGTGATTACAGAAAAGACTGTACAATTTCAATGGAATTATGTTAACACAAAGGAAAATCCAGCCGATTTAATAAGTAGAGGTATAGATCCAAAAGAATTACCATCCTGCTCTCTATGGTGGGACGGACCAGAGTTTATAAAAGACAATAGGTACAATTTTACAAACAAGGCTTCCTTACCTATTGACTTACCTGAATTGAAGAATTCTGGTGCGGCTGTAGATTCCTCTAAGGTAGTATCCGTCTCAACACAAATAAAGAGTGATATCTATCAGCTTATAGATAAGTACTCGGATATAAATAAAATGGTCAGAGTGTTAGCCTACATATTAAGATTTTGTCATAATCTTAAAAATAAAAATGATCAGATCAAATGTAATTATTTAACTACAAAGGAATTGCAACAGTCATTGCAAAACATTATTAAACAAGAACAAAGTATCCATTTTAGCAAGGAAATAAAATCGTTGACTGAAAGCAAAGATGTAGAGGGTATTTTAAAACCTCTTTTTATTTGCTTTGCAGTTTACCTCTATTTAAATGCTTTGCAGTTTAGATCCAAATGGCAAAAAAGTTATCCTAATGTAACAGTAGGAATGTTGGTGATACTCAAGGACACCAAACAATCCTCCTTTGCCTGGCCTATGGCTAGAATAAGTAAGATTTTTCCAGGTAGAGATGGGAAGATTAGAGCTTTCGAAGTTGTAACACCTAATGGTAAAACTTATAAACGTTCCTTATCTGGTATATGTATTCTTTCTATAAATGATGCCTAAATTTAATTATTATTTGCTCATTTTAAACTACTTTCTTTTTCTTTTAATTTATAATGATAAAGGGAAGTAAGAATATGTTATTTGCAATTGTTTAGTTATTTATACAATTTGTTATTATTATACTTATTGTAATGTAATCACATATTGTATAAATAACTAAACAATTGCAAATAACATATTCTTACTTCCCTTTATCATTATAAATTAAAAGAAAAAGAAAGTAGTTTAAAATGAGCAAATAATAATTAAATTTAGGCATCATTTATAGAAAGAATACATATACCAGATAAGGAACGTTTATAAGTTTTACCATTAGGTGTTACAACTTCGAAAGCTCTAATCTTCCCATCTCTACCTGGAAAAATCTTACTTATTCTAGCCATAGGCCAGTGCAAAGGAGGATTGTTTGGGTCCTTGAGTATCACCAACATTCCTACTGTTACATTAGGATAACTTTTTTGCCATTTGGATCTAAACTGCAAAGCATTTAAATAGAGGTAAACTGCAAAGCAAATAAAAAGAGGTTTTAAAATACCCTCTACATCTTTGCTTTCAGTCAACGATTTTATTTCCTTGCTAAAATGGATACTTTGTTCTTGTTTAATAATGTTTTGCAATGACTGTTGCAATTCCTTTGTAGTTAAATAATTACATTTGATCTGATCATTTTTATTTTTATTTTTGAGGTTGATTGAAAATACTTATGTCGATTGATTGTTTAGTCACCATAAAATATATAAAACATACACATCGATTTCACAGTGTGTGGAGCATATTGATAGAATAAACAATTTCTCTACCAAAGTTCGTTCAAATTGTTTTAGTAAATCGTCCGTGAAAATGTTATAAATAAAACGTATTAACTTTAGTATTTATTAATAAAACAATAATATTATTAGATAGATAGATAGATAATTTATTTGCATTACTTACAGCACATAAATATACATCTACAAAAATCGAGATAACATTAAAAAAGTGAAATTATTTAAAAAAAAAAACTACCTAAAGCCAAGTACAATTTTTCCTTTTGTGCGTGTACCATAGCAATACAAAATGGTCACAACTAAGTTTATTGAACTTTATCGCTTCGCCCTCAAAAGAGCAAAACATTGATATTCTGTTGTGACCAAATGGAATAGGGTAACAATAAAATAATACTACCAGATTATCTATACAGTAAACAGACAGAAATGGCAGTCTATCTATTATTATATTTACTTCAAATAGCAGCCAAGTATCTTTGCATATTAATTCTATTAGGCGTTGCGCGTTCTGTAGACAGTACGGCTAGACTAGCGGAAAGCATTACTCTTTCATGTACCTACGAGTATATTTCTATAGGTACATGAAATGGTAAGTTGTATGCATATTACTAATCTTCTACGTCGAATAGGTTTATTACTATTTATTACTCATATTATCAATAGGTGGAAGTTATGGTGGAGACCTATTTATTTGTTTATACTTCGCATACATTAAAATATGTCTAAAAGGTGGACATAATGCCTGATAGCATTCTCTATCAACCTTTGTTCAGCAATAGACAGTTAACGGCTGACATAGTATTTTTTATCTCTCGTATCTTTATTTGGTATTTTGACATGGTCTTAACTAGTGAGTATTCTATGTAGTTTGAGAACCAAGTAATAAATGTGATTGTGTGACGCAGATATTCTGCTGTTAGGTAGTTTGTTTATGAAGGGTGAAATATGGCTGTGACTTTACTGGGCGCTGTGATTTAACATCTTTTTTTTTATACAACTTAGAACGACAAACAAGCTGACGGCCCACTTGATGGTAAGTGGTAACCGTCGCCCATAGACATGAGCAGTACCATGGACATAACAGAGTATACTGTTTCGCCCATGATACCTCCCATGATGCGTTGCCATTCCTGAGGACTCAGGTGTTATTCCTCTGTACCCAGTACATTCACGCCATATCCCACCCTTCAAAACCGAAACACAACCATGCAAACACAACTGCTTCACGGTTGAAACACGAATTAGACAGAGGTACCCAAGCAATCGACTTTTGTACAAAGTCTTCCTCTGGTAAAATATCTTCTAGTCATTAGGATCAATCACAGATCAGTGACATTCATATTGTAATAATATATGTCTAATCATTACTGCATACAGGAGTTGAATCTATGAAGAAATGCTACATAGGATGGCGTGGTCGACTAGCAATCTTAATTTAAAAATAATGAAGTTACAAAGATATACGATAAAAGAATACCCTTTTTTTTTGACGGATGAAAATGGTATGGTAACCCCGCCTGCGCTAACGGGATACGCTGGCGGAGCACCAGTGAAGGGTGATCGATGAGAATGAAAACAGGCCAGTTAGCTCATCATGATGAATTCATCAGGAATTAACCATGATAGTTTCCAGGGGGAACCTCGATGAGGTCGACCTGGTTGGGTATATTGCTAGCAATGGGGTTCTCAGTCTCCATCACTAACACCTTTCCTCCCCAGAATACACATATTAATTTGTCAACATGTATTGTGTAATAAGTTCCTATTGTAATGGTTCATTTTAGTTCAATTACTATAATAGAAATAGAGGACGTAATATAATGCTTTGAACGTTGTTTGTTCCATGAATATCTATTTGTAGATAGTAATAAGAGATGAGAGAAACTCGACATTGCAATTGTGTCTTAAATTAGGTGTGTTCTAATCTAAAATGGTCTACTAGTTGGGAATAAAGCGTTAGCATAGAATCAGTGCAAATCTTCATTGAAAGCAATAAAATAACCTTTTGAACCATGAGATCAATAAAGTTACGACGAATAAAAATAAATATAAATAAATCGCTGTTTATTACTGCTTCACCCGCGCTATTGCGTGATATTTTTTTCCGTGGAAATTTGTTGGGAATTTGAGTGAAAAAAATGTTCCATTAGTTTTTTTTATTAGGTATTTACGCGAGGCAATGTTTGCCAATTTTTTTAAGCTACATTGAATTGCAAACATGTTGACAGTTCATCTGTTGTCGTCAATATACATCAACAGCACCAATAACTAATTTAGTATTCCTTTCAGTTTTATTGTAAAAAAAAAACTGAATTAATTCCGGATAGAATATTTTAATGAATAACTGTTTTGATCTTTTTCAAGTATACGCTGGCAGAGCGGGCTAAATGCCACGAGATTTCGGTCCGAGGGGTGCCCCGTTTCTAGTGGTCGTGAGCACAGGAAAAATATAACATTCATTGCATATTTTATAAAAAAAAAAGAGGAGAAAGGGATTGTTAGCAATGGAATTTGACAGTCTCATTGCTAACAATATGCCCTATTAGGTCGACCTCCGCGTGGTTCCTCTTGGAAACCATCGTAAACAATTCTTGTCGAATTCGTCACGATGAGCTAACTGACGTGCTTCATCCTCACCTATCATCCTTCACCAGTGTATACCGATTGCGCAGGCGAGGTTACCATTCCATTATCATCCATTGAAAAAAAATACGCGCCTATAAAGTCGACTGTGGTCGGTCCATCGTTAGTGTAGCTCGTATGTATTATCCATTAACTATGGCGTATAATGTTTGCCCTTTTGATTGATATTAGATAACAGTAATGTAGGATGCGGGTGTATAATTGAGACTTGTTTGCCTCGTATATTCCTGTGGGCCGGTAGATAGGTATGTGGGCAGATCGTTGTCCACTAATTTTGTAATCGATGGATGATAAAAATTGCTATTAATAATTTCCTTAAGTGCTTAGATTAGGTTTTAATGTGATGTCAGATGTATTATTAATGCTATATATATGAAAGTTGGTAGAGATGTATGTACGACAATGAACTATGTATTTGTAACTCACTTTAAAAAAAAGAATTGTGGATTGACTTCAAAAATTATTTTTTTTAAACTTAACTTACTTTTAATTTAAAAGACAAAATGTGTTTGAAGTCGGTGCCAATTGATGCGTTATATTGTTGTTGTTGATAGATTTGTATTGATTTGTATTTGTTTGTATTTTTAGTAAAAAGAAAACTTATTGTAAAATCTTAACTTGATGACATATTGGTGTAATGTAATGGTCGGATCAATTATTAACCGACTTCGTACACATTTTATCCCTTAATTTAAACGTATAATATCAGTTTATTGTTTGGTTTTTGTTTCATTATTATATTTCATTTATAATTTTATAATTTTTTTTTAATAAGTTTGTTCATCACTGTGAAGTAACTGTGCTTTTGTTTGTAGGGTGCTTTTGTTTAAAGGGTAGGATATGGCAGCGAAAACTACAGGGTGCGGAGGCATAACTTAGTTTTCAGCAATGTCAACATGAGGAATACCATAAGCGTCACCGTATGATATCATGGTGCTGGTATAGGCGATGGTTACCACTTTTCATAAAGTTTAGGTGGTCATGAGTTTGTTTACCAGAATAGTACAAAACATTATTTAGATATTTCAGTACGTACAGAACTATTTTTTAGTGATTAGGAATATTATTTTTAGTGATCTATCTTTGTGTATTCCACCTATTCCAAGAATGTACCTAACTAAATTGATAAGATACATCTTGAACTAACCCCCGACGTCGTCGCCCGAGGCACTTACTCTTAAGAGTTTAAACCCTGGTTTAAACCCTGATGATCCAATCACTTTGGCAAATACCCCTCTCTCCTTCTCCCTTACGTTACACACGTGCACACACACAATCTGCACAGTCCTTGCCGGAGGGGGGAAGGGATTGTTAGTAATGGGGAGGTTAGTCCCCATTGCTATCAATAAACCCTATCAGGTCGACCTCCACGCGGTTCCCCCTGGAAACCATCGTGACTAATTTATCGTTGAATTCGTAACGATGGGCTAACTGATCTGCCCTTTCATCTTCACCAATCATCCACTTACTGGTGCCCCGCCAGCGTATATCGTTATACCATTCCTTTATCATCCACTAAAAAAATTCTTGCCGGAGGGGACTAAGGCTCCCATCGCAACATTTGCGCATAAAACAAAGACGAGGTCCGAAGTGTGACGGCCTAAGCCGAGGTCCGAGCCGTTCTGGCGCCTTTGGGCGTACGCCACAAACTATCAATAAGAGTCGACACTTCGTCTCTTACCTCTCGCAGGCTTGTGGTACTTTCTACAATCGCCCCTGCATGCGCCCGGTGAAACTGTAAAGGCCATTTATGGCCAACAGCAATTACAGCTCGAAAAAAACCCTCCCTAAGTACCGTTCTTTCCATTTATTTGTTCGTTTAACTTTTACGTTCAGGTTGTTTATTTTTTTTATTGGATATTAATGGATTAATGTTCAGTAACATAAATAATTACACATTTAATACTCTTCAAGAAATGCTTGTTAGATTCAGTTCCTGTAATCGTGTAGCTAGAGGAGACAGAGTCCCAAATAAAATAAATAGGCCACAAACGACCAAAATCAAAAGCGAAATGTAGAATAAGGCGTGACACCAATTTAAAACACTTATTCATTCCGAGTCGGATTTATTTACGTACGCTACATTTTGTAATAGGAAACATAAATTACATCGTGTTTGAGGATATTCTGTAAAAATAAATAGAGGTTTAATTAGGTATACTAAGTAGGTAATATTTAAATAAAAATGTAGTTTAAAACTCTTATAGAATGTTAGTGGCTTTGTTTGGTTTAAAGAAAATTTGAAATCACACTGTTATTTAAAGTTATAAATAAATAATGTCATATTATACCAAATCGACAGAATTAAATTACATACAATTATTATTATTATATCAGCCGTAAATTGTCCACTGTTAAACATAGGCCTCCCCCATAAGGACGGTTTTGCCCGTAGTTGCAACACTTGGCAGGTAAGTTGGCAACATCAGTTAAGCTTTGGTGATGTTTTAAGAGGGACCTGCTGCCTGCATTGAGCTCCCTTAGTTGCCTCTTACGACACCCACGGGAAAGGAAGGAGTGGCCCATTTTTTTGTCAGAACTACACGGCAAGTTACATAAAGATACATTTACTTGCTTAAACATGGATAGATTACATATATCAAGTTATAATAAAAATAAACAGTGAAACATTTATCCTTTCTGAATGCTGCGCCGATATGAATGCAATTTGGTATACAGATGGACTATGACATTCTAGACTAGCTGTGCTCCGCAGCTTCACATACGTAAATCATTATATATAAAGTATCCTATGTGTTAAAATAGGATATAATCTATTCGTGTAACAAACATTCTAATCCGTCCAGTAGTTTATGCGTGAATGAGTGACATCTATCAATTTATCCGTAGTTAGAAATTTTAGTATTTATAATATTATTTTTTTATACAACTTAGAATGGTAAACAAGCTGACGGTCGACCTGATGGAAAGTGGCAACCGTCGCCTATAGACATAAGCAGTACCATGGACATAACAGAGTATAACTGTTTCGCCCATGATACCCCCCATGCGTTGCCATTCTTGAGGACTCAGGTGTTATTACTCTGTACCCAGTAAATTCACGCCATATTATATTATATATTAATAGAAATTATCAATAAACTGTAGCATAAAATAAATTGTTAACCCAGAATAATTGCAAAATTAATTGCTGGATACTGATATATTGTGTGCGAATTATGGGCGAACGTAAGGCAATTAGTTTCTGTTACCCATAGGCCTCTTAATGTTTTCATAAGTACCTACTCATAAATTAATTTTCATATTAATAGATTATGATATAGAGTAGATACAAAGTTTGTATTTACTCCATGGATAATCCCCTAATATTACCGTAAGTAAGTTTATATATATATTAACTTTGTAGATAATTACTAGTATCAGATCCTGTAAGTCGGATTTGTTGTAATTGTTACAGTTGAGAGTGCGTTATAATAAGTACCTACATACTATATTATTATAGTTATATAGATATATCGTCATATTCGTAGAATTTTGACGGATCTGACAAAGATTACATATAAAGATCCGTCCGTATTCTACGGCTATGACGATATATTTATGTTTAGAGTTGGATTGATAATCCATTTTCAAATGACTTCAAAAAGAAATAGGAAAATGTTTATATTCGTTACCTCATAGCTCATCAGTTCTAAACCTTCCTTTTTATCTGAACGAATATACTTAGAGATTGATTGCGTAGAAAATTTATAAAAATAGCTTTTGTAGTTTAGTTTTTAGATCAAAATGAATGGTTTTGCCACAATTAAAGTAGGTTTTTTATGGGACATAGTTTTTGATCATCCATCAAAAAAGCTCATAGCTTGTTTGAATAATATAGGAATGCTACTTTTGTTAATATATATTTTTTTTTATACAACTTAGAATGGCAAACAAGTTGACGGTCCACCTGGTGGAAAGTGGTAACCGTCGCCTATAGACATGTGCAGTACCATGCACATAACAGAGTATACTGTTTCGCCCATGATACCCCCATGCGTTGCCATTCCTGAGGACTCAGGTGTTATTCCTCTGTACCCAGTAAATTCACGCCATATCCCACCCTTCAAACTGAAACACAGCCATGCAAACGCAGCTGCCAAATCCAATATCCAAAGACCACGTTGAGGTCGACCTGGTTGGGTATATTGCTAACAATAGGGCCCTGGGGGGAAAGGGATTGTTAGTAATGGAGACTGAGAATCTCATTGCTAGCAAAATACCCAACCAGGTCGACCTCCTCGCGTTTTCCCCTGGAAACTATCATGGTTAATTCCTGATGAATTCATCATGATGGGCTAACTGGCCTGTTTTCATTCTCATCTATCACCCTTCACTGGTGCTCCGCCAGCGTATCCCGTTAGCGCAGGCGGGGTTACCATACCATTTTCACCCATAAAAAAAAAAAAAAAACAATATGGCCCTTAATCTCCATTATTAACAATTCCTTCTCCCCTTTCTTATATTTTGGGATTTGGGATAGATATATTGCAGTCAACATTTTTGCCCGGTTTGCGAGTTTGGGCTGTGACTTACATACTGTAAATACAGTAATTATGTATAAATCACAGTTCAGTGGTTAAGCAAAATATAATTTCATATTTTGTTTACCCTTAACTCGACTTTGTGATAATTGATCACTGAACACAACATTATCCGAACTGTGCAGGCGCGTAGGCGTGGTGTTAACTTGACTGATGGACTCTAAAAGTGAGATATTAATTATTCTGTTATACCAAGAATAGGGGTGCTTTTACAATTTTATAATTTAAAATGCGATGTGAAATTGAAATCCTCCTTTGTACCGACAAAGGAACATTTAAATGATAAAATGAATGCGTAATATGAGCACTATTGTTTTTCTAGAGAAAATTATAAGACTATTTTAAACATAGATAAATTTATAGCAAATAAAACGCATAACAATAGGATAACTTTTGTATAAGTAACTTCACAGTTTCTTTTATTTCTAAAACAACATTTAGAAATGTTGTCTTAGGTAGGTACGTAATGCTATTTCATGCATTGAGTGCTAACGAGTGACTCAGAAGTGAATGTATCCTATGTTTGGTTTCCCATAATAAAAATCTTTTTCTTAATAGCTATTAGAATTATATAACAATAATTAATTAATTAATTAGTTTTAATTATTAATTACATAATAATTAAAACGTAACGAAATCTACAAAATATAACTTATTGAAATTTTTTTTTGGTTTTTCGCAAGTTAGTTGATAGGTAATACATAAGTATGTATTGTAGATTAATATAAAATTTACATAGAATTTCTATAGAAGACCAGTTTCAACGATTAGTACTTACTACTTACTGTACTCAGTTAAAACATATCTGAGTACAGTAAGTAGACAATCTACTGCCCACATTTGCGTCTTCTCGAGTGTTTGCTGTGACTCTTGTCTGTGTGTTTCACGGAAGAAGTAAGTAAAATAAGGCGCTATCTATATAGATCAATCACACGAATCTGTATTTCTTAAATTTTTTTCATAATTGAACTCCAGACACGATATTTACAGTTTGTTGGTTTATACCATGTTTTATCAATAAATTGATAAAAATTTCCAAATACATAAAATATTTCACATCATGTACCTACATACCTATGTCGATTTTTGTTGATTCTTAGATAAAATCTTTAACACTGCAATAAAAAAATCCCAAAATGCTTTTATTATTTTTCCTTTAAAATATATACATATCTACAATATGTTTAAATTATAAATTTTATCAGTAGATAAATAGATATATGAGTGTTATATAACATATTTTTTTTAAATAAATCTGAATTATGTAATAATTAATTAAAAAATCTTTTTAAAATTTATATGTATGCGCAAAGTAACATGTAATTGGAAGTTAAATTAGTATAATCGATTATTATTCACAAAAAGCAAATAATGTCCCGGAGCCATATCGAAAAATGCAGGATAACAGTTGGTGGGAGGTTCGCGAGCACACTGCACAGCGTCTAATGCGTATTCTGCGCTCAAGGGGAGTCCGAGAACATCGGCCGAGCGGTTAACACAGATTGCTGCGCCTGCGTCGCGTCACGCCGCATTCGTATCGAGCGCGCTTTGCCGAGTAGTTGGGTACCCGTGTGCCCCTCTCCCGCATAAAGATCGGCACGTGCTCAAATAAACCTATCTCTTTCACAAATACCCCTAACTCGATTTCCGCGAATGAAAATAATGTGTCGATAGTCGCTAATAATTGGTCACAGTCACTACGGAATCGGGTGACACCGCGAGTGTAGTGGTAGGTGGGTGATGGCTGAAAACCACGCACTTATACCTGAAGCTGTCACAATGTATACTCAGACGGAGGCGATGAAGGAAGCCAAGGACTTGTCACAGAATTTAGTGAGCGGAGACTTCGAGAGACAATATAAGGGTGGAATGGCGGACAAGTATACGAAACGGGGACAGACCTGGTTCGTGACCCTGGTAGTGGCGATTACAGCCATTGTGGTTTCCTTACTGGTGCTGACGGTCATACGAGAAATAGAGATATTGCGCCTCCGCCAAGAAGTGAACGACTTAACAGCCAACGTGATAGCTGTGTCAGCAAATGTGAACTCTTTGAATAACAAAATTTCCAACAAAAAGATGTTCCACGATTATGAAACTCTAGAAGATGCGGTAAGTGCTTACTTAGTCTTTGTAGACCATATAAATAGATCCGTACTTAAATTACCTACCTAGATGAAAACAGTTTGAAACATACACAATACGGGTTCTGCATACTGAATATGGTGGAATTACTGAGGAATGTTTAAAGATAAATAAAACATTAGCATTATATCTCGCAAATTCTGAAACATACAAAATATACTGAAGACTCGAACAGAATTAGTGAGGAATCTTTAAAAATGAAATATGTGTTATGTCAAATTACGTCGTTATTAATGCGGAATATAACATTATGAATTAACAAAAACGTTAATTGAAATAAGCAATTTAAAATTCATTAGCATTGCTCTAAATTACATGTAGTCTATGTCTAGTTATTGTAGTAAACAATATCAGTATGCTACTCAGTAAACAGCGACGTGTTGTGAACATCTTATATAATAAATGAAGCTCTATTGTGATCGGATAGATAAGACAACTCTGCGTTTCGCCAAGGTCTATTGTCATACCATTTTGCTATTAGAGCCAATTGATTGTACAATATATTGTAGTTATAATTATTAGATTATTCCTAATAACTAGTTAAATAAAGTTCCATTATTGACAAGAATGTGTGTTGTAAGAATTCCAAATAAATTTGTTAATTATGGAATACGGATTTTGTTGTATAAACGAAGTGTGATAATACCGATAAACAAAAGGTCAGTACCATTGTAGAGAATAATTCCTACCTAATTATAGAAGATAAGAACTAGGTAGGTTGTCTGTTATTTTGAAACGAAGACAATTTCAAGGTTACGGCCAAATGCGATGTGTGGAGTCGAAGTTTGGTTGATATTAGTGTGTTGCTATCATGTTGCCTGGAAACTGGTTTTGTTCGCTCAGCAAACGAGTTATGAAATGTAAACAAAAAATGCCGGCCCGAGCATCAATGTAGCCTTGCATTACGCGATAAGTCTAAATTATTATTTCATCTAACCTCACAATAATAATTACACACCAAGTGATATGAATACATTTTTGGTTAGAAATTAAAGATTTGATAAATGATTTCATGATTAAATTTAGTGCGGCAGATTAATGCAACAGTGTCATACTTATTTTATAATTTTACTATTTACTACCTTTAGCCTGGTACTTTGCACGCGTGGATTTCATAAGTAGTGAAAATGAATAAAATAGCCCACTTTTACATGGTGTATCAAGATAAAACATAATACCTATATTTCAAGTTAGATCTTCAAGAATACAACTGTGAAAATCGCATACAATTTCGTACAGCAGTTTTTGCGTGATACCGGATCAAATATGCAGACAGAAAAAAATTCTAAAAAATATTTTTTTGGCTTCTATTAAGACCTCTTATTAACACCTCTTACAATTTTTATTAAATATCTTGTTCCATATTCAAACATCGTCAAGTTAGAACTTTATTATATTCGTAAGATAAGATTACGATAGTCCATATAGGTAGTTGTATAGGTAGCTACGGATTTAAGCCCACCGAAATGCATGCTCTATTAACTGTGTTCGATGAAGCTTGAACAATGGTTCAAAAACAAATAAAGCATTATTATAAATTTGTATATTATGGTAACACAGAGCTCTCAATAGTTCGCGTGAATTTTAATAGATAAAAATGAATGAGCGTCGTTAATAGCTCAATGGTCGACCAAACGTTTAAAATGATGTTAAAAAGGTCATTAAAATATAGAAGCAACTGTTCTTTTTAGTATTGGATATTGAATTAATAAGTCCTTAATTATAAAACGGTAATAAAATAGTAATGTGGCAATATTATAATTTATTATGCATATTTGTAGTTTGTCTAGAAATATTATTTTTCTACACTAAGATGTTTTATTCGAATATCAGTTTTTACTCTCAAAGCAAAATTTCTTTAGAACTGGATATTTATTATTTGTATTTCTTTTTTAATAAATATTATACATAAATGGTTTATATATCAACATCAGCGTTTATTATTATGAAGTCGTCAATGTACAGAGTTATTGTGAGTAAAGTTCGAAAACAGAAATGTATATTTGTTTGTTTAGTTGGCAAACTTTTTTTCTTCTTGCCATTATTGTTATGGCTAGGTATGCAGTAGAATTTATTTATTTTGCCGCGGCCCCAACTCTTGGTTCAATAGACGACTACCTAGCCGTCCGTAGGTGGTCACACATAAAATTTAACAGAATAAATATAGATCCATCGGTCGAAAGTTGTAAACACGCGTTGGATTTATGCCAGTTTTTGGTGGGCTCAGCCCTTACGGACTTATGTCGCTTTCGTGGATTTTCTGATGGATTAATACTAATACCGATGTTACGTTAAATATAAAAAAATATATATATACTTAACAGAAAACAATGTATATTACAAATGTGTTATATATTTATTTAAAAAAAAATTGCTCTATTTAAATTAAATACATATTTTATTTATTTCAAATTAATTATATTATCAATTTATTATATTAGATTGTAAATTTATTTTAATTAATAAATAGTCATTATTTATTGCAATTCGTTCTCACAGAACCCACGTAAAAATCTGCAAACAGTATCAACAGATTTAGGTACCAACGTTCCAATTTCGCTTACTTATTGCATAGATGGAAAACATTTCTGATGTTTGATCTGATGAACACAGTCATGAGTTTCACTGGACATATTATGATAAGGCTTAAGATATGCCAACTCACTTAATTTTATGATAAGTAAGTACCTACTGTAACTGATATCTAGAAATACCTTTCATGGACTAAGTGTCTTATTACAAGTCGTTTAAGTTGCACAACGCAATTCTGCCTTTTACATTGATATAGGATTGCCAGTTGCTATATTTTTTTTAGTATAAAACCGTGTTACTTATTTATATACAGTAATACCCGAACATATAGCGCAAATTAAATGTCTTTGCTACACTTTTTTATTTAGCTTTATTTTCGTTACTTCATGTAATTTTACATGTTGTAGTATTTAATTTCATAATTTCATAATTAATTTCAGTTATTAATTTGTTTCTTCATTTTATTCTAGCTCTTACATTGTTTTAGTTGTTGTTTTGTGTTCTTTTTCTTGGCCGTATTTTGAGCAATTAAATAAATAATAATAATAATTAATTTTACATTTATCGAGACTTAAACCGCACAGTATAATAATTCTAAATTCTCTAACTGAGCATTTAAGTATAGGTACTTAAATGCTTAGTTAGAGAATTTAGAAGTTAGGTAGGTCTAACAGCATAATATGAAAAGATGATAATGAAATGGTAACCCCGCCTGCGTTATCAGTATACGCTAGCAGGACACTAGTGAGGGGATGACATTTAAACATGAAAGCAGCAGGTCAGTTAGGCCAACTGATCTTGACGAATTCATTGTAATTAACTACGATAGTTCTCAGGAGGCGCCGCGTGGAGGTGGACTTAACAGGGCATACTACTAACCTAGAATTAACCTTCTCATTGCTAACAATCCTGTCTCCCCTAACTGATCAGTATAGTCCTTTCCTGACAGGTAACTGCGTCGTTTCACTAACGCTATCCTTTCAGCTGTCATACTTTTCAAGTGGGCGAATCACGTGGCCTGTCCTTTCCAATTATTTACGCCTACATTTTCTTGTAAAATAATTTATAATTTATATTTCGCTTTATTGTATATGTACGTACTTAAATATGTCTGATATCTGATAGCTCTAGATTTTTCGCAGTACTTGCATTTATTCAATTCTCATTCTTTTTTAAAATATGCAACTCTCGCTTTCATATGCCACATTTTTTCTTTTTTATATTTGGCTTATTTTGTAAATATTTTGACGTGACTTCTTAATAAAGTAACAGTATGCAAAATGAATAAATAGTTAAAATATTCTCAAATTGAATCTATTTATTTTTATGTCTAATGGCGACGGTTACCACTTTCCATCAGGTAGACCGTCAGCTTGTTTGCCATTCTAATTTGTATAAACAAAATGTATTATTTGTTTACGTCTTGTTGTATATTATTACTCGTATTTTTGGCCATTATATTTTTAACTGCCTAATTTCAATAGACAGTTATATGCGGACTGTTTACTAACCTCCTTATTCATAAAAACTAAAACCTCTTGCAAACCTGTTTTAGCTATTGAAGTGTTTTGTCACTGTTTTTCAAATTAAGAATTTAGTGCGAAAGAAAAAGACAAAACGCTTCAATAGCTACAATAGCTTTTTAAATGTTTCACGTTTTTATGAATAAGGGTATAATTGTTTATACTTGATTTTTTTTATGCAACTTAGAATGGCAAGCAGGCATAGATATAAGCAGTACCATAGATATAACAGAGTATACTGTTTTGCCCAAGATACCCCTCATACGTTGCCATTTCTGAGGACTCAGGTGTTATTCTTCTATACTCTGTAAATTCACTGCCATATCCTACCTTTCAAACGAAACAGCCATGCAAATACAACTACTTCACGGTAGATACACGAATGGGACAGAGGTGCCCAACCAAACGACTTTTGTACAAAGTCTCCCTCTGGTGGTTGACTTTAGAATATTCCTAGAAATGTTACCGTAACTTTGTTATATCGACTTGTTGTTATTATTATAAAGAAGATAAAACAAAAGTTAAACTGAAAGTGAATTCTTCAAATTATTCCTTTTTAAAATATTCCGACAATTTGGTATTTTATTTCGTATTACAGGAAACCGGACTTAACAGGGAAAATATCCTGTTAAGACTTTGTTTTCCTGTGAAGGACTTACAGTAGCTTGCTATAAATACTGGCTGAATAGGAATTATGTGCACTCAAGCCTGCCTTATCGTCTGTGTACAATTATATTGTTACATAGTGTAGTAACGACAAGCATTTTCAACTTGATGGAATATAATATCTATGGGTAATAATTTTCCATTGCTTACAATATATTTACACCGAATTCGGAATACATACAGTATATTTGTTATAATAAATAGTCAAATAAATAATATGTATTTGATATTTTTGTACATTATACG